TCCCATACAGTTGAGCTATGGCGAAGGCAGAGATGCAGCCGGGGCTGAGAGAAGTTGGGAGCCAGTTACTGGAGATAGCCAGAACTCTCGTCACCTCGTGGGCTTTCGTCACCTTCTGGACTCCCATGACCTCCTGTATTCTTGTCACCTTCTGGGTCCCCATCACCTGGTCTCCCATCACCTCCTGGGCTCTTGTTATCTTCTGGTCTCCCATCACCTCCTGGGCTCTCGTTACCTCCTGGGCTCTCATTATCTCCTGAATTCCTGTCACCTAGGCCCTCAGCACCTCCAGACCTTTTGTCACTTCTCATCACCTCCTGGGCTTTCATCACTTCTTAGCACCTCCTGGAGCTCCATCATCTTCAGGGCTCTCGTCACCCCCCGGATCCCCGTCACTCCTAGACTTCTGTCACCTCGTGGACTCTCCTCACTTCCAGGACTTTCATCACTTCTTGTCACCTCCTGGACTCCTATCACCTCCTGGACTGCCGTCACCTCCTTGACTCTTGTCTAGGATTCTCCTTATTTCTCATTTGTTTCTTTGTCCATGTTGACTTCATTCTCTTTGACTACTGTGGTGGTTATGTTTGTGTGTCAACTTGGCTGGGCCTGGTTGAGTGGCTGGGCAGCTAGTGGTAGTTATTCCCAATGATGAGACTGGCAATCAACTCCATGGTGGGATCTACCACAGGTAGTTGAGTAGCTGCTTTGGGTATGTGGTCTGCTTCCCATATATAAGAAGCAGCTTTGGGAATGGTCTCTAGCTTATGGCACCCTGCATGTAGCCGTGTCATTGATCAGCCTGCCATGCTCTGCCAACCTTGGAACTTACAATGGACTTGAACTGATGGCCTGCCATGTGGTTTGGTAACATTGGGACTGTGCCTTGTTACTCATCAACCTTGGGCTTGGCAGCCTCAGCAGCCAGCAGCTGTCTGAGTGAAGAAATGCCTCTGGCTCCAGTGGGCCGGGAGCTGGAGGCAGAGCTGAAGTCCAAGGCTGAGGGGCTTTCACACAGCCCCTAGAGCCTGGCACTTTGAACTTGGACTTAAAGTCTCCGAATTGTAAGAGAATAAACTCCTGTTTGTTAAGGCCATCCCGTTTGTGGTATATTCTTGTCAGAGCGGCACCAGGGAACCAGAACAACTACAAATTGCTGTACACCAGTTTCTGCATATGGCAGAGAAGGTTCTGCTGGAGCTCTCAGGTGTCCCATCTGGCAGCTCCCAGTGCAAAAAAAAGGGGGGCAGGGAGAGTGCTTCACATGATCCTTGACCCTAAAGTTAAAAAAAAAGTCCCAAGGAAAGTCTTTGGCCCGCTTTGGGTCAGGTGCTTATTCTTAAATGAATCTACTTTGGCTGGAGACGGGGTCACATTGAAACAAACCCATTGAGCCCACTCCTGTGTGTGGAAACTGCACCCCAGGAAAGAGAGACTGACGGTGACTGTGGGTAGCCCAGTAGCCCATCCAGGATGCAGCTTTTACAATGCAGCAGCTGCTTACCGAGCACTTTCTATGTGCCTAGCAGTGTGCTAAGCTGTGTTTGGCATTGTATTTAAAAATACAGCTGAAGACTGACGTTTCGAGTGTTCCGTTTGTGTTGGTGTGCCAGCAGTGTGGCTGGGGCTGAGACCTGAGAGATGCTGGTGAGTCCTCAGAGACTTACTTAGGCGTCCAAAGTCAGCATAACGCTGCTCTCCAAGTGTCTTTATGAACACATCCCATCTTACACAAAAGATATGTTTCCACAAAATCGTGTGTATATCACATGTTCTGTTAAAGACAGTAGAGGGCATTGATATTTAAAATATCCAAAACAAAATGAAGAGCCTGTGTAAGCCAGTAATTACCCTCTAATGTACCTAGTTTGCCAAGATGAAAGTGATAAGGTGTATTTTTAACACATTGTAATTTATGGTCGAAAGCTCATCTGTCCAACAAACATTTTAGAGTGCTTCCTGTGTGCCAGATGCTGTGACGTTTGCTGGACACACTGAGGCAGTGAGCACACTTCTGGGGGTTCTCTTTTTGTTGAGGGAGGTGGATGAGAGGTTCTGTACAACACCGTATGACTGCGGCAACTGGGGGCTCCAAAGCATGTTGGACAAAGGTAAGGAACAGATTGCACTGAGGAGGGAGGGTAGACTGTGGGAGAGAGACAGGAAATAGTGTAACTGCTGTTTGCTGTGAGCTGGCCATTGGGCATTTTGCAGGGATAAGTACCTCACTTCGGTAAAGAACTTCAGACATTGTCTTGTCTCCTCTTTGGGCAATTGTATCTGAGGCTCCTCGAGGCATTTGGTGTTGCGTTTTCATTAGGGTCCTAATGGGAAGGGGTAAGGCCCCAGGGTGAGGCCATGGTTTGTGTTCAACTATTGACCTAAGAACCTCTCCTCCACCTCCCTCAAGCCTTGAACCTGGACAGAAGAGCAGTCAGCCCCAGGGGATACAGGTGAGGAGAGACAACTCAGGGAC